ACACAGGTGCATGCACGCTCAAAATCCCAACAGGAAGGAGAAATGTGGAAGATATTCAAGCAACCAGGCCCCGCTGGCAAGGTGGTTGCTTTCTCCCTCTCCTTCTCGATATTTCTCTCTCTCTGTCTTCTCTTTCTGTATTGGATGTGCTTGCCCTCTGGCAAAAACAAAACAAAACAAAACAAAAAACAGAAGAAAAAGTCATGTCATAAAATTACATCTAATTTCAAATTATATTTTAATTTTTTTCATCCTAAAGGCTCCCAGAAATTTTTGGTGAAGTGCACTCTGCTGTGGATGTTTATGACATGGTCCTACACAGATGTGCATGAAAACCTTCAATTCGCCTTTGTACGTATTGATTAGAGGTGGGCTTTTCTATCCCGGTAAAGGCATTCTGCTCAGTGTTCAATAACAACATCATTAATGAGGGAAGTATTCCCTGCGTCTTCTGGACACCCAGGACCCGGCTCTCAGGAGCAAGGATTCCGAGATGAGATGATTCCAGTCTGGGGGCTGATCTTTCTGAACCCCTCGGCCTGACCCGCCGGCAGCTGAAGGCAGGGCAGCACCGCGGGCGGCTGAAGGTCTTTGGCCGGGTAACTTTTCCCGGATCGAATTTTGCGGCTACGCTGATACTCCATTGATACTCTGGGGCTGTCCTTGTCAGAGAGAGTGGCGGAAAGAAGCGGACAGACTCCAGCTCGCACCGCACCCCTGCTCCACGCGGCAGGCGAGTTAGAGACCGCTGGGTCGAGCCAGACTCGCCGCCACTTCAGAGCAGCTGCCGCCCGCCAGCGGGTCCCGGAGTGACCAGTGCAGGGAGCGCGGGCAGGGAGTCGTCCAGAGGGGCAAAGGAGGCCGCGCTTTGTTTTTTTGAGGTCGGTTTGGGCCTTTATTCAGCCTGAACGTTTCCGGCACTTCTCTCACAGGGGTCTCTGTCTCGAAGCACGGGACCGGAGCAAAATGCCTAATGAAGCGTGCGGGGCAGGGGCGCGCTGGAGGCTCGGGAAGGAGGGCTGGGGCGAGGAAGAAAGAGTCGGGTTACAGACTCGCGGGTTCTCACGAACCCCTTACAAGTCAGCCCCGAAGTCTGGGACCCACGAAGGCTCTTTGAAGCTCCTTCAGGCCCCTCCGCGTTGGGCGTGGGCCGGAATCGTGCCTGGCTCCACTTCCCGCACCTTCGGCTTCATTCAAGCCCTTGGGCCGGGAGGGTCCTGAGTGGGCTCAGTCAGGGTCTAGGAGGCCGCGTGCCATTTCTCGACTATTAGCACAGTGTCCCCCGGCCCAGGGGCCCGCACCGCCGAGGTTCCTGCCCTGGGTAGGTGGGCGGAGCCGAGCGGGTTCGGGTTCGGGAACTCGGAGAAGACGGCTGGCCCGCAGTACCCGCGGGTATGCGCCGGGGAAGCCCGCGAGCCGCCCGGCCCCGCAGCCTGTGGGGTCTCCGCTGCCCCATCCCTAGCCGCAGCCGGAGGGGCGTGTCTTCCCCACGTCCCTCTGGGAGAGAAAAACGCTCGGCAGCTCCGTCGTTGGGCGCCGAAGTCGGCCCTGGGCGTTTTCCGATCGCCCTGCCCCCGCCCTCGAGTGACTGCTGGCGCTGCTCCAGGAGCCGCCTGGGCTTCGAGCTCTCGCCCTTAAAATAGACGCGCCGCTCCAGAAAGCGGGGGAGGGGAGCGTCTGAACCGGGAGAATAAAGAATAAAAACACGACGAGAACGACCCCATTCTCCAGGAAGAGGTGACAGGGGAAACGCAGCATGTGAACGTCCTCGGAAATGCAAACCGAGTCAGCTCTCCGGACGCATACCAACGACGGAAGACCAGCCAGCCGCGCCGCGCGGCTTCCCAGAAAGGGCCTCATGAATGAGAATGGGTTGCTAGGTTTCCTCCCTCCCTCCAGACAATCGCTTCCCACAAGACTTCCACCGCCGAGAGAAAACATGCAGGCGGGGGAACTGCCGAGCTGGGGGACCGCGCCAGGCCCACGAGGCCGCCCGTGGCCGCTCCCGCCTTCAGGACCCTGGAGAGCGGCCGTCGCGCCCCTGGGCCCTGGGTCCCGCGAGCAGCGCTCCCCCACTTGTGCCTCACCACCCTGTCGCTTTCGTTCGCTGTTTCTCGCCTCCACCTTCATTCTACTTGGCAGCCACCACTCTTGTTTTTCAAGAAAGATTAAGCTGTCTCTTTGTTTTGCTTTGGGAGGGGCAGGGGGATGTGTGTTTGGACTGGAGAGGTGGATTCCGGTTTGTAACCGCACTGAACCGCGGTGCAGTGAGAAGCCCTGACAGCGTCTCGTAGACCAGAGCCTGAGCAAGCAGATGGCCTTGGGAAGTGCATGCAAATTCCTTTACAAAAGAAGTAGGGGCACTCGGAGAGCTTCCCAAGGTTAGCCACCAGGTTAGAGGCAAGGCTGTCCAGAACCCTGTGCCGCTGACTTCTAAACTAACGCTTCCCTTCACTTTCCAAGGGAAACACATCCTTACCCTCAGCCTCACTGCAGGATTCTTATGCAACAAGTGGAAAGGCCTGTGCTCCTGAGAATAGGAGAGACACAGGCAGTGCAGGAAGGGGGCAGGGGCTCCGCAGAGTGCGTGGTCTAGTAACAGCCCCTGCAGCGACCCTGGTCTCCTTCACTCCAACCACCAGCACCGCCCAAGCCAAATCAGTCAGTCCCTTTCTCTGCCCAACCCGAGGTGGGTCTGCGAACCCTGCAGTCTCGTCACCTGCAGTCTCTGATGGAATCTCCCCTAGACTCCCCCAGGGGAACCTTGTAGCCAAGTCTAACTCTGAGCCTCTGGCCAGGGGAGCTCTATCCACTTCCGGAGCGGGAAAATAGGGAGTAAGAGGAGAAAGGCTGAAGAGCAACAGTTGCAAAAGCGAACTAAGAGATTGTCCCCTAAGGAATCGAGAGGTGTGAACGCAGGTCCGTCTATACAGGGCAGCCAGCGTTTAACTTGCACCCGAATCCCCTGGAGAGGTTAACGTGCAGGTCCGGAGGCGGACGGGGCCGGGGCTGTACGTTTCTAACAAGCTCCTGGTGCGGGTTATGCTGCTGGTCCACGGACGAGATTTGAGTAGCGCAGAGTTAGAAACAGCGGGGACGGCGGAGAAAGTGGGTAAAGAATCTAACCCTGGGCCTTCCTTCTACTTCCGCCGCCCTTCTCCTGCACCCCCAACGTAAAGCCTAAAACGCGGTAGCAGAGAGCCCAAAGTGTCCGACGCCACTGTCACGGTGCTATTCATTTCTCTCCCTGCCGCCGGCCCTGCGCAGCTCCCGGACTCGCCCGCCGGCCCGAAGCTGCTCGGCCTCCTTTCCCGCCCGCTCTCCCGCATCGCGGGGCTCTTCTCTCATCGCGGGGCTCTTCTCTCACCTGCTCCGGAGACCCCCTCCTGCCGCTCCCCGTCGGCGTCCGGACTTCTCCCCCCGGCGTCCCGCCCTGCGGGCCGCGGGGCTCTCGCGGGGGAACCAGGAACTGCCCGGCCGCCTCTCACTCCTGCTGGGGGCCGCCTTGGCACTGCCCGGCCGACCTCCGGGGGGTCGCCGGCTGAAGTCTGCCGGTCCAGGCGCTGAGCCGAAGGAAGAGGACGCCACCACCCAGCAGAGCTCCCCCAAGCCGGTGAGTACTGAGGTCTCCACCACGCCCCAGCCCGCCCGTCTCCAGTCTCTCCCGCTCCTTCCTCTCCCGAGTGTCCCACTCCACCCCGGGCCAGCGGCGGGAGAAAGTCTAGACCGGGCTGAGCACCGAGGGACCGCGCGCGAGGCTCCCCGACGCCTTCCCCTCCCGACCGAATTCTGAGCTACTTTTTTCCTGGGCCATTTCCTTTCCTCGGTCCCTGGAAACCCGAGGGAGCCCTCGCCCTTCCCGGAGGCGGCTTTTCGATCTCTCCGCGCGTCTCTCCTTCCCCTCCTCCAAGCAGCCTCCGCGACGCGCCTCCGCTGGCTCCGCGCGCTCGCTCTCCCACTCCCCTGCCCTCTCCGCAGGCAGAGGAGGAAATGACGTGATGTTATTTTTGTGTCAGGTCAGTTTCCAGCTTCAGTTCAGCCCCCGGAGCTCGGGCGCACCGGCCCCCGCTGCTCAGCCGCGTCCCACTCCCGAGGCTACGCCGCGGGCTGCCTGGACACGCGGCACCAAGCGCCCGCAGAACTGGGCTACCCCGCGCCTCCTCCCGGGCCTCCGCGCTCAGGCATCCCTCCCCCAGAGAAAGCTGATCCACAGGGGAGGAGAGGTCGCTTAGGACCGCCGCGGGATCCGGAGTCAGGGCTTCTCCCCCGCCCGCCGACTCCGGCCACCCCTCCCTCCCCCGCCACATGGGGGCTCCGGGTTTCTGGTGGGGAGAGCGCAAGGGCGGGAGAGCCGGGGGCTGGCTGGGCCGGGCGGGAACTGAGCGGAGAAGAGCCCCGGGGCAGGCGAGAAGGTAAGGGGCTGCCCTCCAGAGACCGGGCAGTCCACAGTGGTGACTCTAGGGGCCCACGCGCTCTCGTCCCTCCACCCCCTCCATTCACAGGTCCCTGCACACAACCCAGCACACCGCACTTCCTCGCTCGGACCCGGCGCGCAGAGGCGGTGGCAGAAACCAGGGAGCTTTGCACACGCCCTCGGCGCTCCGCGGCTTCGCCTTCCCGCCTCGGAAATTCCTAATCTGGGGCTAGAGGAGGGGGCTGCGGCTCGGAGGCGGGCCGCGCCCCACGTGGGGCCTCTGGGGTGCCCCAGCCCCCGCCGCGGAGGAGCGCGCTGCGCCGAGGGCGGCGAGACCAGGGATTGCCCAGTCGGAGGGAGGGTGAGGGGGCGGAGAGGAGGCTGAGCGGGGAGGAAGCGGCGGCGAGAAGAGGGCGATAGCCGAGGCGCAGAGCCAGAGGAAGGGCGAGCGGAGAGGAGAGTGGCGGGCGTAGTAGGGCCGGCGCTCGGCATTGTATTAAAAATAAGGTCCACGCGGGGCGCATGCGCACAGCCGACGGAGGCGAGCCGGCCGGCGCGTCCCCTCCCCGTGGACGGTGGGATCGTGAGTACCCCGCGGCCCCGACACCCCCTTCTTCCTTTGCACTCACCCTGAGGCCTCGTCTGGGAAGTGGCAAGGCCGGGCGGGGAGCACACGCTTGGCTAACCAGGCTCGGAGCCGCCGCGGCAGGAACGGTTGTGGTCGGTGGTCTCTTCTGGGAGCCCAACCCCCTCCTGGTCAGTCCGGGTTTGGTGGGGAGGGCGGCGGTGTGCGGGCGAGGATGTGTCCCGGGCCTGAAGGGGGGCGGCCGACCACTAGGATCAGTTTCTGCTGTCCACCGGGCGTCCCGGCGATTCCACCTCGGTGCCCGGGCTCTGTGACTGGGTGGGGACGCAGGAGCGTTCCAGTCCGAAATGCTTGTGGGCAACCCGAAGCTTTCTTGGGAAACTCTGAGCGGCGGAGGCGGCGGCGTTCTCACGGACGGGAAGGAGGACAGGGAAGGGGTTGGGCGCCCGAGACGACAGTGTAAGCTCGGGTAGCCGGAGAAGTGCCACCCAGGCGGGGGCTCCGAGGAGTGGGGCCGGGAAGCGGGCACCCGGCACGTGGATCTGGAGGGGCCGACTCGAGGTCAGTGTAGACCTGCAGCCTCTCTTCGCGGTCTTGAACACCACATAGACAGCACTGTCCCCCACCTTTCCCGGCTCCCCGCGATTGAGGAGCGGGCACCGCGGGGATTTTCCTGAGTACCCCGGGCACTGGCTTTCCCACACTCCTGGAGCTCCGCTCGGGAAGTTGGAAGAGCCGGGCGCCCAGGCTGCGGAAACTGGAGGATGGGGTGGGAGGGTGGAGAGGCGGGCTGCCGCGTGGGACCGAGGTGGGCGTTGGTAGAGGGGGCAGATTGGGACCTTAGGAGACACTGCGCGCCTTTCAGGGGGTGTCTCGGTGTGTGGCGGTCCCCCCTACCTGGCCCTGCTGGGGAGTGGGTGGGTGGGGTGGCGCCGGGAGGTGGTGGGTGTTTGGGGGAAAGGTCCTCCAATGGCTGGAAAGTGCGCAGAGGGTTCCGGGTCTGTCTGCGCCGCTACCTCGGGGTCTCAGACCTGGGGGCGAGGGACCTTGGAGGAAGCGGATTCCGAGGACCTGGATGGGTCGGGAGCCTTCCGGACTTGCCCGCGTCGTAGGAAACCGCCTCAGCGGTCCCAAGGCCCCGGCCAGGGTCTGGAGACGATCCCAGCAACTGGCGATGCACAGTGGCTAAGAATGTCGTCGGACAGACACCCAGGGTGGGGGGGGGGGGGGCGGCTGCCGCCCTCGCACCGCCGGGTGGACTGGGCGGAGTGAGCGCGGTGGTGCAAGATCTCTACCCAGAAGGGAAATCTCTCCTCGCTTCCTCCTCTCCTCGGAGTTGCAGAGGCAAGTCGCCCCAGTCGACCCACAGTTTCTGTGCCCCCTAGCTGTCAGCTGCCGTTCATTGCTGGTTGCAGTCCCGGAGGGCATTCTGGTGTGGGCGGGGCCCTGGTGCCCACTGGCTGGCAGAAGCAGTCACTACCCATCCCTACTCCGCACTGCCCTCCGAGTGTGCAGAGCAGGGAGCCCCTGCATCATTTCCAGTCACCTTCCTGGGGTAGGTGGCCCTTCTACCTGGGCACAAGTGACAAGGCCCTTGTGTGGCTTGTCTTCATTGCATTGTGGTTCCAGACGGTGGGGTTGACTAATGGAAGGTCAAGTTCAGGAAACTGTCTAACTTCTTCTCTAGACTTAGCAAGGACATTTGCAATGACCATGTTAAGTTCTATGGTGCAACCATAATGTGCAATTTACTGTTTTATTCAAATCCTTTTTGCTCAAATCCTAATTTTCTACTGGGTCTCATCCTGTTTATGAGATTATTCTTTTCATTAAATGTGTCTTTTTTTTTTTTCTGAGAGGTTTTTGCTATGGGGCTTGTGTGCTCGCCAGAAAGACAGAAAGCAAGAAATCACCCCCCCCCCAAGGGGCAATGGCCATGCTGCAATCCCTTCTCCATTCTCTCGGGATCCTGGGCACGCATGCACACATGCCTGCGTGAGTTCAAGCCACTGGGTCTGGGACACGAACCGCGGTCAACTACATGGGAGTCCAGCGACATAGCCATAACTCCAGCTGCTGGTCCCTTAAATGTGTCTTTTTAATGAGTGTCACTTGATGGGTCAGAGTTCTGAGCTCAGAAAGTCTGGCTTCAAATCTAAGTGTAGCTGTGTGACTAGACAGGTTACCTACCTCGCTGTGCCTTAGTTTTATCTTTTGAGAATTAAGGATCATAAAACTGCCAACACTCAGTAAATTAACTCAGGAGGCCCAGCCACAGTAGGCAGGCTGGCTGACATTGCTGTTCCACAGGCTGAAGTCCCATGGGAAGCCCAGGCTCATTTAATTCCTGGCCCACCCTGCATGGCGAGGGGCCTATCACCCCGACTGTTCCACAGACCAAGGCAGCAGGCCACATAACAAGGCCCTGTCTAAAACCCTGCACACCAGTAAATACATACATAATGCAGGGGAGCTCTTCCAACCAGCTGACACAGTCCAGCAGAGCTTGCTGTTGTTACTACTATTAGTGGAGACTGAATTGGCCAAGTGCACTTCACAACAGAACAAGGTAAGGAATTAAATTGCATTTTGTAGAACAGGGTCTTGCTGCGGGGACGGCAGGCATCCACTCTTATGGACAGGCCAGCTTCTGTCCCCCCGGTTCTGCTCCAGTCTCCCTGAGCTGGTGGGATTGCAGGGGCAGTGGGGCCTGGCCTTTAAGGTTGGACTGGAAATCACCCCAGGCTTCTCAGATGGTCCCATCTGAAGGAGCACAGCAGCTGGACCCCCATGCGTGCATCTGTATGCAGTAAGCAGTATACATAATGAAATCGTTTTCCATCTTCAAAAGTTAAAAAAAAAACCAAACACCTGTTTTCTGTCCATATTTAACCTTATTTATTTATTTATTTTTAGTTTCTGTTATTGGGACCACATGCTTGCCAGAAAGACAAAGACAAGCAGTGAAGGAAAGTGAGAAATCACAGCCCCCTGGGAATGGGGGTTGGCCACACCACAATCCCTTCTTGTACACTCTCTTCTCTGGGTTTTGGGCACACATACACCAGATCCTGTGTCTTTTTCTTTCTCTTTCTTTCTTTCTTTCTTTCTTTCTTTCTTTCTTTCTTTTTTTTTTTAGATTTTTTCACTATAGGGTGCAAAAACAGAGACAGAGAAAGTGACAAATCACCCCGCAGGGGGAATGGGTATGCTGCAATCCCATCTCTTCCATTTTCTTCTCAAGAAGGTGCACACACATGCACCCAGCATGAGTTTCAAGCTGCTGGGTCCAAACTCGAACCACGATTGGCCATGTGGGAGTCCAGCACCTTAACCACTATGTCACCTCCTGGGCCCTCTGTTTGTTTTCCAAGCTGTCATGCCCCAGACTCAAACTGTGCAATCAGCATGTGGGATCCAACAGCCTTAACCATCACACCACAGGCTGGCCCAGTGTTTAAATGTAAATACAGTACATTTCTATGTCATTTGGATACTTTTATTTCCACTAATTTCAACATATTTACACATAATCTTTAAACAACATTTTAAGAAAATTCTTGCTCACCTTCGAAAGAGTCACTTTGAAAATTAGATAAAGCTTTTAAAAAACACATGTTAGGCCATGGTATATACAGAAAATTCAATATCTTCATTGAAATACTGCACTGAGTCAGTTTTATCTCGAGAATCTTACTGTAGGAGCTAGAACAGCTGACTGCTCTAAGGTCACTTGTAAACATTTTAGTTAAAATACCTTTTATATTGGGACCAGCAGTTAGCGTAATGGCTATGTCGCTGGACTCCCACATAGCCGACTGTGGTTTGAATCCTGGACCCGGTGGCTTAAACTCACGCTGGGCACGTGTGCGTGCATGCCCAAGATCCCGAGAGGAGAATGGAGAAGGGATTGCGGTGTGGCCATCCCCCCTGGGGGTCATTTCTCGCTTTCTGTCTCTCTGTCTCTCTCTCTCTGTCTGGTGAGCACACGCGCCCTATAGCAAAAAAAAAAAAACCCCTTTTATATCAAACTATAGGATGATGGAAATCAGATTACTTGTTCTGTCTCTCTGTAGGTGATGAAACATTCCGAGAGATTAAGGGTCAAGCCCCCAAATTTCCAACTACTTCAGGGCAAAAAATGAGATTTGTATTAGGTCATCCGACTCGCTCTTCCATGCCACACTGATAATTTTCTGTTTACTGGGTTTTCTGAGCCTTTAACAAACAGGAAACCAGAAGACATAAAGAGAAAAATAGATAAGTGTGTGTTACCTCCATTGCCAAGAAGGACCAGGCAGGAATATCAGGGTCCTGTTGTCTTGAAGCTTTGTCATGGTCCCTCACGTAGTAAGACATGACCACGCGACCTGGCTCAGGTATGGCAGGGTCACAGATTCAAGCCAGGTGCAGAGCCAGCTTAGACTTCAAGGAAGGCCCTACTCAGTTGTATATTCTCTTACCCCCTCGTAGCAGTTTTATTTTAGAAATCATCTTTGGGCCAGTAGGTGGCATAGTGGTTAAAGTGCTAGACCCCTGTGAAGTCCACCACAGTTCAAGTCCCAGACCATGCAGCTTGAAATTCACATTGAGTGCATGTGTACGTGTGCCCAAGATCCTGGGAGGCGAATGGAGGAGAAGATTGTGGTATAGCCACCACCACCCCACCCCACCACCCCCGTGGGGGACGATTTCTTGCTTTCTATTTCACTGTCTCTCCTACAAGCGCATGTGCTCTATAGCAAAAATCTCTCTAGAAAAAAAGAAAATAAAAATAAATAATCTTTGAACTTTTTTTAAAATGTCCTTCTTGGGGAGCAGCAGTTAGCGTAATGGCTATGTCACTGGACTCCCACGTAGTCGACTGGTTCGCGTCCTGGACCCGGTGGCTTAAAACTCACTCCGGGCGCATGTGCGTGCATGCCCAAGATCCCGAGAGGAGAATGGAGGAGAAGGGATTGCGGTGTGGCCATCCTTCCTGGGGGGTGATTTCTCGCTTTCTGTTTTTCTGTCTCTCTCTGTCTGGCAAGTGCACGCTATAGCGAAAACTTCTCCAAAAAAAAAAAAATGTCCTTCTTTCTGACTTTAAAGATCCTTCCTATAAGGGACTAGCAGTTAACCTAATGGCTATGTCGCTGGACTCCCATGTAGTCGACTGTGGTTCGAGTCC